GTATGGTCTGCCTCCATTTCTCGTCTTCTGGCCATCGCTCTAGTAACAGCACAGGCTGGATAAATGTCATCATCTTCATCATCGCACATGACATTGGAAGTGATTTTCTCACAAACTATAGGATCAGGTACAACCTTCCCACCAGCTAAATCGTTGCCTAACAACAAAGAAATGCCTGGAACGGGAAGAGTAGGTCGAACACCTACGATAACAGGTCCAGTAACTAAATCTGACTTCAAACTAATTCTATGCAGGGGAACATCAATGACGCCTAGCTCCACACCCTGTAATAAAACTGACCCACCAGTAGAAGTCTGCTCAGACAAAGGAAGCACGCCCTCTAACAATAATGTCTGTGCAGCACCAGTATCTCTCAAAATCTGGACAGGTTTTATTTCGCTAGAGTCACCGAGTGAAACAAATCCCTGAGACATAAAGGGCTTATAATCCTCCATAGAATCAATAGAACTGGACTGTGAACCCTGGACATCAGGAGTGTCAGAACAAATCGAACCTAAGGTTTCTCTATCACCTCTAACTGCAGCACAAGCATGTGGCTGAGTTTTATCAAAGTCATTTTTTCTCTTAAGTCTAAAGCATTCACTGATCAGATGACCTTTTTCCTTACAATAACTACAAGTAGGAAGCGACCCTATTCCAGAAGATCCTTCAAAACGTCCTGGACCGGACTTAGAACCACCTTGGGATGGAGACTGGGAACTTGTGAAAGACTGAGACCCTGAACCACTCTTTTTATATGTGTCTGAATTGGTAGAATTACTGCTAGTCTGAGATCTTGATACAAAATTCTTTTTATGAGACAGAGCGTAAGTATCAGATATGACTGCTGCCTCTTCAAGAGTTTTCACATTCTTATCTTCTAAATGTGTTTTCAAATCTTGAGAAACACATTCCTTAAACTCTTCTACCAGGATGACTTGGCGCAAATTAGCAAAAGTTTTATCAAGTTTCTTAGATCTAAACCAGTGATCGAATAAATCTTCTTTCTCTCGTGAAAATTCAACAAATGTTTGATTATCAAACTTCCTATACTTTCTGAACTTTTGTCTATACGCTTCAGGTACTAATTCATAGGCTTTTAATATTGCTGCTTTGACCATCTCATAGTCTAAACTTTCAGCTACCCCTAGTGCAGAGTATACCTCAGCTGCTCTACCAACCAGTACACTTTGTAACATTGTTGACCAAACGTGTTGTGGCCATTTAAGATTCTCTGCGACTTTTTCAAATTGAGGAAAATATTTGTCTACAGATTTTTCTTGAAATTTCGGAACTAACCTAACATTTTTTGCTGCGTCAAATTCAGTTTTGACAACTGACGGTCCTGGTTGGTTCTGTAATTTTAATTTCTCTAATTCAAAGTTCATTTCACGCTCTCTTTCTCGCTCTTGTCTTTCTCTTTCTCGCTCTTCTCTTTCTCTTTCTAATTTGTCTAATTCAAATTTACGCTCACGCTCTCGTTCTTCCCTTTCTAATTTTTCTCGTTCAAATCGCATTTTCTCTAACTCTACTTGATACTGAAATTCTGACATTTTATAAGATTCTAACTCTGATTTAACTGTATATTCTGGAAGATCGTATTTTCCAAAGATGTTTTCTTCAACTAGTTTGTTTGCAACCTTAATTCTAATATCTTGCTTTTTCTGAGAAGATTTAACATCTAACCCAAGATGCAAACCTAATGCGATCAAGTCATCCTTTTTTAACGTATCAAAAACCTGTACACTTGGTGAACTAAGAAAGTCTGTGACCGAAAACACCATGTTGATTTCTGCTGGCTTATAATTAAATTTAATGGTTCAATAAACAAAATTCTGACAATAAACTGCAAAAGTGCAAGAAATTCTTTATCCCGGACGAGCCCCCAATTCTGTTATGGGTCAGAATAACCCTAAATGCCAGCAAAGATCAATCACACAGTTTAAACTTAACAATAATTTATTTACAGTAATCTACAAATCACTAATTACAAACTTAGCAAAAATCTAAAAATACATACATCAGAGTGTCCGTTGCTGCACACAATGTCCCAGTGAAATTCTATCCCAGTAATACCTCAATGATGCTTATACGACCAGTGCTATCTATGCATCGAATTGACAGGATATTTATACAGTAATATAAATCTAGAATATTCTAGAAGTTGTAAGTACATGATATTCCTGGAAAGTTCTGGACATGAATAAAGTTCAAGAATGTTCTAGAAAAAATTACTAAACATATTGTTCAAGAACTTAATGTTACTAATAATATACATGATGAAACAATACACACCTCACAACAGTATGTTTCATCTTCAAGTATTGAAAGGCATAAATTTTTATAATAATCCTTATTCATACTGCATATAGCTTCTTTTATAATAATGATGTCTTTAAATTTTCAAATGGTATTTAGAAACATGTTCGATGAAATTATCCAGGTTATAGTTTCTTCCCTTGGGTGGGTTAAATTTACTCGGATTTGATACAATAGACTCATCACTGTTTTCCTCATCTAAGAAAAATTCCGCTAATCTTAATCTTCTACAAAAAGCCTCTATATCATTGGTTAATTCCTCTGTATTATCTCTGCGAGGTGTTGGTGTGAATTTTAGTCCCCTTTCAAGAATTTTAATTTCATTTAGTGAAAGTTTTTTATTTGAGAGATTTATAACTGTTGCCGTTCAGGGGTTTTCTCCCTTGAGACAACTTGTGGGTCTCCCAATTCTGTATATTGAACAAAGAACTATGAGTCAGGATTAAAGTTTATAAAAATTTATTATTGTTTGTTGTATTTAATTTGCACAATCTCTTTGAATATTTATCCCTATTTCTTACTCCCGTAGAGATATTATTTCTCTCCCAGAATGGGAATAAAATATTCTCAAATGGGAGATTTATGTTTTAGGGAATAAAATATAAATTTACAAAAGCATAAAAGTATTTATCTTTTCCCAAAATATTGGTAGTTCTTTGCTATACAATTATATTATAGTCAGGTATAGTTATGGGAGAGTTATTTTACCTCCCACTAATTTTCTCCCACAGGCTAATTCACTATAAATAGTAAAAAGTAATAATAAAATGTGTTACAAAATTCATCAGCTCCCAAAAATTAATTAATTAATTATGTCACAGTAATTTCTCATCGATATCGCTCCCAGCCATGCTGGCGATGCGATGATCTAACCTACTCTAACCTATCCTAAACCCATTCTGACTGTCAGTCAATTTGCACTGGCTTATATTGGCATCGGGCTCGATTGTCGTGACGTCACGACAAAGTGAAAATACCCGCCATGCTTGTTAGTTGATATGCTGCCATGCCGATCGAACCGACGAAAGGAAACACGCACCCTAGGGCGCGGATAATTATTGTGGGAAACATTCATACTTATCGCTGATGGACTTTGTAAGCATAAACAAAACAATCATAAACAGTTCAAGCGTGACTTGGGAATTAAAGACGTCGAGGAAATTCGGGTGTCACTAATTACCGACCTCGTCCCAATTGTACACTTGGTAAATATACATGGAATTAAACATACAATAAATTAAACATGAATTTGTCATTTTATGGACCAATATATATTGCAGGGAGTTTTTGTTTAACTTGTACTATGTATTTCTACAGAAAATGTTACTTATACAGTAACGGGAATAATTACGGAACCGTAACATAACTTTGGGGTCGACTGGAAGCTTGGTTTCTAGATCTTTAGTTGTTACGTAATTCGGTGTTGATTGGGGCCGAATTCTAAAAAAGAACTCTTTGCAACAGGAAATTTTGCTTGTTGATGTACATACTTATAAGGTCGTTCATGGTATGGAATTTTCGGTCTTTTGTTTTGGTAATGGTTTCCGAATTTAAATGTCAGACTTAATGAGTTAACGGTATGTACGAAATATCACAAAAAGTCTTCTGCTATATATATTGCATGACTGTCAATAATTAGTTTAAACAATTTTATCAATCAATCTTTCATGACAAAAAACATCACAAACAAATTAGAAAAAAAAAACTTTTTATGTTTAGAATATCTATTTTTGATAATTACACTGTATCAACCATATCGTTGTTTTTCTCAACCTACTAATTTTGAACATAGCTATATCGACTGTTTATCAAATTCGCTGGGTTCTTTCTTTCTAAATCGTTTTTAACTTCCAGTGTAACACTACTGAATGGCTTTCTTCCTAATGTCCCTTCGTCATTTAAACTTAAATCATTAAGGCACAATGAATGAGCCAGTCTGTACGATCTACTGCCCGCCTTAACTCCGGGATCTTTTGTTGACACTGAAATGTCTGAAGATGATTTAATTGACTTCTTTTCTTTTTCATTTGTAACGTTAGCATCTTTTAATTCATTTTCTGATTTTACACGGCATAAACTGTATGAATGTTGCTGTAATTTTAGTTAAACTGTTGTCGAACTGAAAGATAAAGTGAAAGATTTGCTGCTTTCGTCATGAAATGTAAACTGTTCTCGCAATCGACCCTCATCTGAGAGAACGACATAATACAGATCTTTTCCATTTTCAAATTTCTGATGAGACAACTCAGGAATGCTTGATTTTACTCTTAGCTTAACATGGTCATATTCATTTTCAAAGGAACATTTCCCGTACAAATTTGTATTTCTAGAAACTTTTTGTAGCTCTTTGGAAGCAACGTTTTCTTTCTCTTTATTGTCTACTGTATTTGTGCATGTTTCTGAGCATGCACTTGAAATTTGAGAACACCGTACCGCGTATTTCCATATAGGTATCGTCATCTTAACATCGGTTTAATGTGGTGACTGTGGATGGTGGGTGATGGTCCTCGTTGAGAAGTTGAATGTTTCTTTCTGTAATAGTAATGGATAGAAATGCAACATTATTTAGTCTTATTCCTGAAATTAAACAATACAAAATAGGAGCAGAGCAAACACGGACCTTCGAAACACCAGAACCAAAGCACTCGAAGTTTAAACAGTAGTAACTGATAAATCCTTATTTTAAGACGTTTAAATAAATAATTAGTTTGTATATAATATCATCTTGGAAACATAAAATCTATTAGCTTACCGAGAACGGAAATACAGAAAACATCCAATCAGAATGATTGTTACCATCGTACCAATCAGTAAAGAGCTTAGAGCTATCCATGTGTCATCGTGATGGTTAATATTTTTATTTTGAACATGTTGTTTTGCTGGAAACGGACGGGGTGTTGTCGTGTTTTGAAGATTTCCCGCTATGTGTGTCCATTCACTTATTTTGATTGTTTTATATGTAGTGCCGGTTGATAAAGAAGGAAAACTAGTTCTTTTTTCTGATTAAATTAATATAAAAATTAATGAAATTGTATCAAAGATCAAGTTGAGCTCATGCTTTTTGAAAAAAAATACGTTATTTTAATTCCTTTACATCAATGGTGTACCAATAGTTATCCCCTGAATGAAAGAATTACCACGAATGCATCCAGTAACATTATGACAGTCAGAGGCAGGACACTCACAGGCGGACCTACACAATAGCCCATAATATCCCGACGGACATCTCTGATGACAGTTCCATCCGAAAGATCCAACTGGACATTCTAACGTATAAGGAAACTTAAAAATGTTAAAAGTACCAATTGTTTCTATAGGAAACGATAAAAAATCATCTGCGTAGAAGTTATTTTTGTAACAATTTTTACTTTTTGCTTATTATTATGTATGTCATGATAACTAAGTGCATGGTGTTTACAACGACTTGAACTGCTTCATTTTTACGAGTTGATGGACATCAACTCAGTTATGTTCTTACAAATGTTGACCTAATTTTAACCAAATAACACACCTCGTTTATTCAGTTCCTTCTACCATAAATTGTATCACATCCTGAAAAACTCTACATAAATAAAAGCGAACATATATATTGAAGACATGTCAATGTTTCTTTTTTGAAAGGAAATTTATTTTAAGTATAAACAATAACATTTTCATTGACAAGCCTTATTGTGTCGGTCCGACAAAAAAGATAGTGCATTTTAAACCGCCGAAGAATTAAAGTGTATTTCGTCACTTCACATATTCCTATATGTGTATATATGCCTTGTCGATTTTTAAAATTTTTCAAACTAATTGCATAAAATATTGGTAAATTTTTCTGTGCCAAGTTCGTTGGGGTTTATACAAATGACATTTTAGGCCTAACATAGAGATCGAACTTCTTTTTCATATTCATACGCACCATGCTACTTTGTTTTGTAAACACAAACACGCAAAATCAAAAGAAATTGACGGGACTGTGGAGGCTTACCAGGAAATTTTAGAAGGTACTTAAATGTAAATACATGTACATTTAAGTATAGTTGCACGTGTTGCTCTGAAATATAAACTTAGCCAGTAGTTTATCGATAGGACTTCGTATGCGGCATGGTACTGACCGAGTAAACATTAGTGCCACCTTGTTTTCGCGGCTTCAGGGGCCTCATTCTATATGATTTTTTTCTTTTTGTTTTGTCCGCATAAGTAGCTTCCATTGCGGTAATGAGGCAACTGCCTCACTAGAAATTTTATTTCAAGTCTTTGAAAACACACAAAACAGCAGTCGTGCGACAGGACATGCCATAGAATTTTCGACTAGAGTTCCACTTTCTTGAGAGAATCGGTCATGTTTTAGTGAAAATCGAATGAATATTTTTCTGCATGCAATGAAACTAAACGAAATTATCCAAGATAATATTTCTACTTGTTGTATATTACAAGAAAAATACGATGAGAAAGAAGCATCTGTTGGAACGACGCCATTTTTATTTTAGCCAGGAGCGGATCAAAATCCACCACAAGCACCTGTTCATAATAAATCTGGAATAAGTTATTTTAATTGATTTATGTTTACTCATATCGCTTCAGAAAAATATAGACAACTTTTTTAATGTAACTTAACAGGGTGAAACTGTCTTATTTATTAATTTTCATTATAAAAAAATATTCATAAATGGGAATATGTGAAAAAAAATACAAATGTTCTGTACAACGGCATCCTGTGTCATAATACTGTTAAATTAACAATTTGAGATGTAAAAAAAAAATAAAGGTCAGATCAAGATTTTGATGATCTTAAAGATGATTATGTTGATGATGTCAAGGGATCAAAAAAAGAAAAAAACAAAATTTTCTTGAAAATATCAGGTTCAAAGAAAAATTGTTAAAGCAAGTCTCAGCTATTTCTTGCATTGCAGCAGATATGCATCAAGCATCAAACAATTTCTTAGAAGATAGTAAGGATAGACAGTGTACGTGTTGCTAATGCACTTGTAAGCATTTTGTATAAAGAAGTGGTTTGAATTCCTACAGAGGATTGAAATTCAAGTGATCTTAATTTATTGCTTTGGAAAGATGATGATATACATTTAAGATGTTATAATAAATAAAATACCTTTAAAATCTTCCATTTTACTTCTTATTTTATATGTTGTTTTAATTAGAATTTAATATTTGTTATTTTTCTAGAAGTATAAACCACAAGGGCCAGAGCATAAAGGTTCCTGTGAGGATTTGTTTACGAAACCTTTTTCACTGCTTCTGGAGGTTTGTTGGTTAATTTCTCTCACCGGAGAAATTTAACTCCATCACTACCATATTGGGGGTTCCCTTATGCCAGATGACATCTCCAGGACAGCAAAGAGGTACTTTTAAAATGTCATAATAAATAAAATACCTTTCAGATCTTCAATTTTACTTGTTATTTATATATCGTTTTAATGATAATGTAAAATATTTTATTTTTCTAGAGGAATCACAACAGAGGCAGAGCATAAAGGATGACTGGGAGATTTGATAAACTTACTGTTGTAGGAGAACAATTTCAAGCATTGATATATATTAGAAAATTGTGCTGCCAGTCTTTGTATGTTGGAGGACAAGCTTCCCCTTGAAAACTGGAACAAATGTGAAATGAAGAATGTGTATCGTCATATTGAGAACTTTTCCTTGTAAAATTACTTCTGGGAAAAAGCTTATTTCATATCAATTTATTGTGTTCATTATCTGGTTTAATTTTATATTTGTAATTGTTTTAAAATTGCCTTTTTGCTCACCTGAGTCAAAAGTGAGTTTTTTGATATGATTTCTTTGTTGTCTGTTGCGTTGTAAACTTGTTACAACTTAATTTTTGTTCAAATGATGCCCCTTTCCCCCTGGGAGCTTGAGACCATTTATAAAGTTAAACTTTTCAAAATGGAACTGATATCTTTTTTTTTCAATCCGAGATACTCAGGTGAGTAATATGGCAGACGGGCCTCTTATTATATTTTTTTTTTATCTAAAGTATTAGAAAAAGCGGTGGCATCTCGACTCGAAAAACACCTAAACGCTTACCAGCTTCATGATAACGTGCAGTCGGCCTACCGAAGTAGTCACTCTACAGAAACTGCCCTGCTACGGGTGCACCATGACATTACCTCTGCACTGGATAAGAATTCATGCGTTGCTCTCGTAATGCTAGATCTCTCGGCTGCATTCGATGTGATTGATCATGATATACTAATCAGTCGCATCGAATACGCGTTTGGTATCACAGGATCGGCGCTTTCATGGATAAAGTCTTATTTATCTGGTCGAAGTCAACAAATTGCTGTAGGTTCCACATTCTCGAGAGAGTTCTTACTCCAGTTTGGTGTACCACAAGGGTCTGTTTTAGGACCTCGTCTATATTGTATGTTCTCCAAACCCATCGGAGAAATTTGCCGGAGACATAACATGTATTACCATTGTTATGCTGATGACACACAGGTTTACGTGATTATTAACCCGAAGGACAGTTGGGACGACATTGCAAATAGACTTGAACGGTGTCTGTCTGATATACAAGACTGGATGCAAAACAACATCCTTAAGTTAAACCAGGATAAGACTGAACTCATCATCTTTACACCGAAACGTTTTGCAAATGAATTTACAGGACGTAAACTCGCTTTTGGTGGATCAGTCATCAGTAATGCTTCCTGTGTTAAAAATCTCGGGGTATTTTTCGACAGCAAATTAAGCATGGACTGTCAAATCAATTCGGTTACAAGATCCTGTTATTTCCATCTTCGTAACATCGGTAGAATAAGATCACTCATAACAGAGGATGCTTGCAGGACACTTGTTAGATCTTTAGTGACATCTAGACTTGATTATGGCAATGCACTATTGTTTGGCCTCAATGCCACATCCTTGCAAAAGTTGCAGAAAGTTCAGAACACTGCAGCCAGACTGGTGACACGTTTGAGAAAACATGAACATATAACACCAATTCTCATAACTCTTCACTGGCTACCTGTGGCATACCGTGCACAATATAAAATTCTGTTGTACACTTTCAAGGCCTTACAGAAGCTAGCCCCGAAATACATCCAGGAACTTGTTCAGGTCTATCGCCCACAACGTTCATTACGGTCTGGGGATTCACTGAGCCTTGTTAAACCACGCACTCGAAGTAAGATGTATGGAAATAGAAGGTTTGATGTATCTTCAGCCACCCTGTGGAACTGCCTCCCGCTGGATCTTAGGAAAGAACAGTCACTTGAAGTTTTTAAAAGAAATCTAAAACACATCTTTTTAGACTCGCCTTATTTGATAAGGCTCTAGTCACAATGGAGCATCCAGTTGGTTTTATTAAAAAAAAAAAAATGCCCTATGATTTTACCTTTTTGCTATTTTATATTGTATCCGTCCTTTGTTTTATATTGTAATTGTTTTCTAAGTGTAAAGCTCTTTAGGGTAATTCCATAATTATATAGGGCGCTATATAAAAGTAGAATAATAATAATAATAATAATATTAGATATGTACATTGATTCACAAGTATGTACCTTGTAGCGACATCAATTAGAAGCAATATCATTTTTAAACCACAGTTTGATAGCAGAAATTTTATTTTCAAGAAAAAGTTGGAGGCATATGTTTATATATATTATATTAATTACATGTTTGTGAATTTCAAAACCGATTTTAGCTACAATTTACATTGGAATAAAATGCAGTTGTCCAACTTGTGTCTATTGTGTCTCATGAAAGAAAAATCTTACAGCTTTTTGTGTTAAGCAACAAATATTTCACCGTGATCATGTGTTTTTGCAACAGTTGTGAAGTGTATATGCTCAAGAATATATTTATTAGTTTTCTCCTGTGTCCCAAAACTGTGTTAGTACTTTGATTACTGTAGCATTTATTTGTAAATCAGGGTCCTGTGTAAAACTTTTGATTAAGATTACACACATTTTGCATTTCAAATGCTTGTTACATTTTTGAGCAAATTATGAACAAAATTGTGACATCGACTTTCTCTTTCTAAAAAGAAAATCATTTTCTTGTATTTTACTGTATATTGTGCTTTTACAGATTTAAACTGGAAGACTGACTGCAATGTTAAAAAAAATCTTATATGATAAATATAATAGTAATTGTCAAATTGATTATGAAAAATATTTTTTAAAGGGATATTACTTTTGCTGTATCCACATTAAGGACATTCAGATACTGTTGTACCATGATAGTTATGAAAGAGCGTTTCATTTCATTTGTTAAAATAGGACAGTATAATTATAATGTAAAAAGAAATGCTTTCCTTATTATTTCACATGACATTATTTGTTTATGGGATTTAATGATACAGTGCATCATCTCATGAAATTGACATCAGAAATCAAATGGAAGTCTAAATTTCTGCTATTTTTAAATGGCAATTTCATTTCTTTATCAGTAAAGCAGTGTTCAATTTATAAGCTTGAACAACCATCAACTCGTATTAGTACTTTCAGTACTTTGATTCTAATTATTTCTTTCTTAATGATTTTAGTTTACTTCATTTATGATTGTTTCTAAATACTGATCTTTCGCAACATTGCGATGAAGATAAATAAATATTTTTTTTCCCTTTATAGTTCTGAAATTTTCAAATATCTAGTTGAGGCCAAACAAATGTCCTATATTACATACTACTGCAGATGTAAAACATTATACAATCAATCAATATTATATAATACATACCAATGCAGATGTTGCTATTTTGGTCCAGATATTGATTATAGCAGCATGGTAATCCGGATCTTCAAAAAATAAGAAAGGTATTGAATAGAACAATCCTAGTTATTTTGTTTCGATTTATGAAATAAAATGTGTTAATTAGTGCATTTAGATAAGATTCATACTGTTTTCTACAAGAAGAAGATGTCATCGTCGTGGAACAACACCATGTAAATAAACAGTTCTCTGTATTTATGCATTGATGTACTGTATTATAGTTTACAGGACGGAAGACAATACTCCTTAAGTGCTTAAGGACAGATGGAACAAACTAAAGAAATGAATGGATGCTTGGATTGGTTATTATTTTTGGGCCTATTTTTGTTGTATATGATTATAATTATAAATTTCTTTAAAAGTAAAAATTTATATCTTTCTATGATGTTTAAAATTGTACTTATATGCATCCATCTTATTAATTTATGCTAATTTTTGTCACTTCAAATCCAAATATTGTAAAACTTTGAAGGAAAATTTAAAGCTATGCAATTTAAATTGTTCATTCTTAATGCTAATATTAACATTCTATAATTTCAAATTTTTGACAAAGGTTTTTAGTATCATCTGTTGGTAAGTGTTGGTAAAACCTTTTCGTTTCCAGGAAAGTCATGATTAATTATATATTTTTTTCCAAAAACATCCTCCTGTAAATTCAATTTAAATCATGTTAACTGAGGATAGGACGCTGCAAAACAAGACAGCACAATACATAGAGAAGAATCCAAACTATACTCTTGATTTCATTTGCTCACATGAAGTTATTATCAGATTCGTATGAGTCATATTACCTTTTAAATACATTGGATATCATTGTTGTTGATTTGTGACATAATAATTAGCAACTCATTGTATTTTAGTTATACATGTACATGTATATGTTAAATTGTTAAAACGAAGGCAATACTTCTAATATCACATATTTATTTTAAGTCCTGTGTAAAGTGCAATTTTACGAATTTCTATAATGCTAATTTATGTTAATTTGTTTAACACTTTATATCAAAATGCTATTATTAATTTCATGTTCCAATATTTACCGCAATTAAGCTCACAGTTTGAGAACTTGATCTTTTATCTCCCAGTACTTTTAAGATAAACTTCTCATTTATATGTAAAAATTTCTGAAGTGTGAATTTATGTATGATTAATATCTCATGCTTCAGTTGAATCTACATTTCTGATTTTATCAAAAATTCATTTTCACATCATTGATAAATATACAGAGATTAATGTAGACTGATAATTTTACCAAAGTATATTATTCATGAATTGGGCTCTGGTATTAGCCCCTTTCAGTTTTCAATGAACCAGACCCAAAAAAAAAACTTTTACATAAGAAGAAAACATTCCTCGTATCCTTTTAATCACTATTTAACGATATTGACGATGCATTATTAATTAACAAATTATACTTTCATTCATATGTCGGCTAGATACAGTGAACTTGACATTAAAGACACCCATAGAGTCTCCAACTTATGTTTCATATTCGGAAGTTTTAATGACTAAGGGCGATTTGACAATGGCAATAAAACTATGACAAAACATATTCAACTTTTCCATATTCTACCTCCTTTATTTATGTAGTAAAATCAAGCTATCTCCTGCATGTGATGTTTTCATCTTCCAACTTGAACTATTCATGCAACAACTTATTCATTATTATTGACAATTTCATTATTCATTTCATCATTTTTTATCATTGATTTTCATTACCATATGTCATTATTCAACAGCATGCCCCAAGCTATTACAGTTTTTACAGTAAGGCAGATAAACTGATGCTTCGGGGATTTTATCACCTCGTTTGTTTGAAGCCATTTGTATCACCTTTGTTTTTTTACCGAGTTTGACTAAGGAATGTTTCGTCTACCCAATCAATGAATAAAGCTCACGACAGGAGTAGCCGGTCGACAGCGGCAGCTTATTCCTCCTAGGCTTCTGATCCCACCAATGCGTGTTTATGCCCTCTTCACAGATTTGTATTCTTGAAAGATTTTTCTTAGATCAATTACTTTTTGATATTTATTTACTGGTTGTTATCATTATCCTTTTCATTTAGTTACAAGTTATTATAATATCAAAAAATAAGATGCAAAGTAACCGTTTACTAATAGAATATTATGTGAAAATGCCTTTTAAGAAGGAAATAGAGATAACGAATAGTATTCTATATCAAAGTCCATAAAACAATACATTATAGTAGCAGAGCAAACACAGACCTCCAAAACATCAAAGGTGGGATCAGGTGCCATGGAGGAGTGAGCACTCCCTGCTGACCGGTCACACCCGCCGTGTGCTCGTTGTCATGATCAGGAAATAACGGAAAAAATCCGTCGTCAATTCAGTGTATAAATGATGGACTAACAATTGGTATGAAAAACGTCAGTCAGCATTTGACTCAATGATAAATTGTATTTGCTGACAAGGTCATTGTATCGACCATAGAATTTACGAAATTATTACATTAAGCGAGATTGCTGATATTCTTGTTTCCTTAAGTTGATTATCAATAATTTACATCATTTTAGAAATTGTTCATAAGTAGAGTATGCTCTTGCGTATCGAATCAACTGAGATAAATACATTCCATATGCAGTTAATGAAGGTATATTGCTACATAAGTAAGGGAAGTTGACGATTGAAATGTTAAAGTCATCACGTTCATCATATAGCTTGGTTGTTAAATTACCATTAACGTCTTTTTCAAGTGAAATATCTAAGTATGAAACAGATGTGTTAGACTCTGTAGTATTTTTTTTTATCTCAAGCTGTCCAGGATACATGGTATAGACGTAGGAACGGAAATTACCATTATTTATTAAAGATATATATACCGTATTAGTGTTTTATTGCTAAAGAAATAAAAATATGTGTTGTCTCATCAAGTTACATAAGTTATGTAATTTCTGCAATTAAGTCAATTCCACTCCATCACTTTTAAAAGTTATGAAATATTATTTTGTAAAAATTATTTTCTCTCCGAATCGGATATTAAACCGCCTCTTATTGAAATATTCATGAACACGTGGTCTCGCATGCTCACAGCAAACAATGGTCCAATCTCGTGAATGAGCCGAAAAGCATGATGGTCTACTACGTTTTCACTACAAACACGTGGGTTAGGGAATTGTACGATGCGATCTCAAATGACGGCTGGAAAGCCAATTTACATTTTTTAAGAGAAATAGGAAGAATATTTACTAATTGAGAATTCCCATGCTCACATTAACAAACAAATGCAGTTTTTCTTGTAAGC